CGTATGGGTGTTTCCACATTAGGCGAATATAAACGATTTAACATGGATTTACTTTATCCGATGTTATATTAGTTCCTTTTCGGGTTACTACGCTTTTCAATTTCATTTTCTTTAATGACTTATTACTTTTTCTGAAACATATACGTATTATTATATAAACGTTTGCGTGTGTGTGTGTGTGTGGGTGTGTATGCGTGTATACATATTTATATGTCGATGCTCATATGCGTACTTTTTGTCCTTGTCATTTGCGTTGTAAATCGTGAGTTCAGTTTTTTCAAGTCGATCTCTTCGCGTCATAGACAACATCACGCTCCTGGCCATTCGTTTCGTTTTTTGATAAATGCCGGAGTAAAACACAAACAGAGAAAAATAGATACATATGCATACATATATACATATATATACATATATATACATATATATACATATATATATATATATGTATATATATATTGGAATAGAAAGAGGATTACACGTAACGCGACCGTTATTATTTAAATTACAAAGTGGAACACAGAAAAAGGCCACTATAAAAATGGCATGACTGCTCGTTGAATCGTTTTTGTTTAAAATATCTATGTTAAAAAAAAAAGTGTGTGAGAGAGAGAGAGAGAGAGACGTCTTCCGTTGTTGTAGCAGATTGCTTGTTCGTTTTTACCACGGTTTACATTTCATCCGAGCAATGCGCTATATTTGAGCGACGTTCTCATAAGTGACGCCGTTGTTGAGTCATGCGACTAATAAATATTTTTCGTTGCAGTATGATAAATATAGTAGCATGGTTGACGTCTAATGGACACCGGAAATGAAATTCTCGACGTTTCTTCTACTCGTATGCACTTTCGTGGACACCGACGATAAGTCTTTCGTTGGAAAATATCTTTGAAAGATGATTTTCTTTTTTAGGATCAACGATATTCCACTCTTTTCAACAATAACATTCTTTCTATATTATATTTACGTATTTCATGGTATCAAACAATGCAATTTATTCGATCGTCCTTATAATATTCATTGATTGGTTTGGTAAACAAATTTTATGCTTGACCTATCGAATTTGTAGATTTGCTTTAGAAATAAAAAGTTTTATATTCATTGAATATAAAATATATTTTTCTCTAAATGTTTAACTATTAGATCGATAAAATTATTTGATAATTAATTTTATTTATATCTACTTAGATTGTCAATTCGTAATGTAGGTAATCTAATAATTTTATTAGAATATTTTTGCTCGTATGTTGTCGTACGTATTTATAATAAATTGTCTATAATTAATTATCCGTAATAAATCCGTAATAAATAATTGTCTACATTAATTATCCGTAAAAAAAATATGTATCATATTTCGATAGTATCGATATTCTTAAGTAAAAAAAAGAGAGAAAATTTTCTTCTTTAAGTTTTCTCAAGTGTCTGTCACTTTTGATTTCGAGAATATCGTCCTGTTGAAACTCCAACTGAGCGTTCAAATTTCATAAATTTATATATTAAGGTCACTGTGTTCACACACCTTAATGCACTTGTTTTAAAGGAATTATTCAGGTCAATGAATTAATATGAAACATGTTTAATTTTTACATGGGAATATCTTTGAGATTAAAAATCATAAAGACTTTGAAAAGACTAGACTTTTCTTTATCTTATCAATAAAATTATTATAAATCATTTGTAATAAATAATTTCTACAAAAAATTTTCGAAAAATTTTATTTTTCATATATCTTTTGTTACGTCTTCTTTATTATCACAGATATTTTCAATATAAATGTAAATATTGCATATTTTGTATATATATATATATATATATATATATATATATATATGTATATATATATAATATGCAAAATAATATATGAAACGTGAAAAAAGATAGAATACCACCAATGCATGTTGTTGCTTTTCATTCAGTATATTCGTGTATATCTTTTTTTCAAAAGTTTTCTTTGAAAAGTGGTAGAAAAGAAAAAGGAAGGATTTCAATCAAACGTCCACTCATTGAAAATCACGTCAAACGTGTATGCAATTTGAAGGACACTCTCGATGCTTATTATGTTTCCGTAATTCGGCACGTCACTTCGATCGGTGAACATTCATCCGCGTAAAATTTTAACGAGCCACCTGCACGGTCCACCGTTGTCACCGTCCGTTTGTCGTAGAAGGGCCTCTCGAATTTGCGTATTATAACGCGCGTGAGCAATTTTCAATTTACCTTCTTTCGTGTACAGCACGCACTCACCATTATCTATGTAACCCGTAATCGTAATAAACGAGCGAAGTACCTTTGCGATACTCATTAACATTCTGCTTCCTATAAATCATGCGATAGCTATTACCGTTACGATCTGTAGTTAATTATATCCATCGCGTCGCAATTACTCGACGTTGGCGTTGTAACTGCGAGCATTGGGCGCTGCTCCATTTTCGCATTGAGCGCACAATGGTAGCGCACAACCGAAAAGGGTATGTGTCACTCCGACTCGGTATTTCACAGTTGCTGCCGGCGCGCAGTTACCGGTTCATTCTTTTTTTATTTTTTTTTTTCCTTTTTCTCCCTTTTTTGTTTTCGTTTTTTTTTGCTTTCCACCTCCCTCGTATTTCTCTCGATAAATATCGACAAAATAAAAAATGACGGCCTCGAGCGTATCGCGGCGTAAGATCGATTTCGATTTTTTCCTCGAATCCCACGCTCATCGGCGTCCAATTTTCCGACGAGCCGGTAACGTTCCTATAGCGAGATCGTTATTGTTTTATCGTCAAAGTCATTCCAATAAATAATTTTCAACGATCGACGTTTCGTACGTGAAAACGATTGCCTCGAAATATCGACCTATGAAATTTCTTGTCTTTATGATGCCTATACGCTGAACTTCTCAAGGATCTTATTATCGAGACGATCGAATAAACAAATAAATATCTTCGATACGTTTGCCGAACTCTTTTCTCTCTCTCTCTCTCTCTCTCTATATATATATATATATATACGTTTTACTATTAAGAAACTCCGTCTTGTGTCGGTGAATTGAACTCTATCGAGAGCAACCAACGCTTGTCGAGGGGTCGTTCGTCGCAGGTTAAAGGTGAGTTTAAGTTAGGTTCGTAAGAGTATCTCTTATCGGTTTCTCCGAGTAGGGAGTCTACTCACGTCGCTCTTATCTTTCTCATTCCCAGTTTCCCAAGAATCAGACTTATAACTTCCTTTAACATAGACATGGCATAGATATAATAGATAGGTACACGTGCAAGCGTAATACCATATTATCATACAAGCATAATGAAGCTGGTAACAAATATACTTACATATGTGAATTGTTGTTATCGATTTTGTCGTTTTTGTTGCAACCCCTTCGGTTGTCTCCGTTCTCGAGGGTTCTCCCCCTTTTCTTTTTCTATTTCATTGCATTTTGGATCGATAATGTTCTACCGTTATATTCGTTGTGAAATGTATTGTCGTCTATGTATAGAAATATATAGATTAAGTATATTCTGTTGAAGTATAAAATCTGTCGAAACGATAAACACACGTTAATATGAAAATTCAAACGAGTAACACGAGTAAGCTTCGTCGGAAAACGAGAAAGATCGCGTTCGTTAAACAAATTGGCTTGGTGGACGTAATTTCCTTGGTGAGTACCACCGAGTACTCGTCGAAACGACTAGGAGTACTACTTTCTGTGAAACTTCGAAAAAGTCAGGCAACTGCAGCGAAAGTTTTTCAAAGTTGACGTAGCGTTTGAATCGATATAAAGGAAGAACGATGGAGATTGAAATAGCCTCGTTTCGTATCTTTATCGTCGATTCTTTCTTTTTCTTTTTCTTTTTCTTCTTCTTCTTTCTTTATTCAACTCGTGTCTTCTCGTTGCTTCGTGCTTGGAGAGTCACGTCCGATGTTCTATATAATTCCTTTCGGTCAACGAACGATCACGAAATCAACGCGTGACTTTTCGAAAGAAAAAGGACATTGTGGTCTTTTTTGGTTAAAGTTCGAAACGGGGTAGTTACATTAGCGCCAATAGGGTCAGAACAAAGAAGGGAAAGAGAAAAAAGAGAGGAAGATAAAAAAAGAAAAGATTAAGAAGATAAAAAAAAAAAAAAGAAAAAGATAGAATTCGCCTGACTCGATGTGGGATCGTAAATAGGTTAAATTCGTCGTTAAAGTATTATTAAAACGAGATGAGATCTTGCTCGAGAAGTATGTTTTAGAACGTCTTTACACCGTAAACTATTCTTTTTTCTGCATTTTTAATCTCCCTTAAACTTATTTCACTTGTTCTCTTACGTACCTCTTTTGCGTCGTCATAACAACCATAACAAGCTAATTATTTCACCAAATTTTCCCTCTTTTCTCTTCCCTTTTTCCTCTCGTAATTCATTATTCTTCGTTTATATGCTGTTTCTCATTGGTTTCGATTTAATAAATGCACTCTTTACTTTACTCGACTAACACATAATTTTTGATATTGATGTTTTCTTTTTGTCTTGCTTTTTTTTTCCATTTTGTAAAAATACATTGAGATTGATATTTTCTTGATGTTCATGCTTTTCGAAGTACTTTCCATGCTATTTGTCGAGAAAATTAGTGGTGGTTGATGGTAAATTATAGTTGCCGTTGGATTTCTCGGTTAATTCACAAACATTTTGTAAGATTAATTTTGTCTCCGTGAGATAGCAGGAAAAGGGGTAGAATCGCAAGACGTACGAAACCTTTTGGGCACGGAAACTCGGTAACTCGCCCGTAGAATTCGAAAGTTTTGATTGCACTTCTGCTTCCTACGACGAAATTGATTTAGAAGTTTCGTTGGACGCGAAGCATCGTGGATGTTGTGGAATATCGTTGAGATGCGTCGACGAAGACGAAGACGAAGACAACGACAACAACAACGAAGAAAAAGATAACGGCGATGATCACTACGCTTGTTTCTTTCAACAGATAATTTTTTCATTCATATATAACACTTGTACCTTCGATGTTAATAAATTTTGTTGTTTTTGTTTCAGGCCTTAGACAACGTGCGGGCACCACGGATTCTCCGAGAACCGGTAAGAATATAAAGAAATGAAAATTCTCCATTAAAGTTTCGTTTTGCATGCTCCGTGAAAATGTTTGAAGAGGAAAACATTTCTCAAATGGGCTCGAAAATATTTACGAGTTTTTCTTTCTTCCATCGCATACATTTGCCTCCATTAAAGTTTTATTATTGTTCATTGGATATTCATACAAATATATTTGCCAACCAATGGTACGATAGATAATTAATAAAACGAAACCAACTATATAATAAACTTGAACGGATAAAGATACATAATGCTTAGTGCTTTTGATCATATTGCTATGTATATGTATATGTATGTGTATATATATATATATATAAATATATATATATATATATATGTATATATATATATGTATATATATATATATGTATATATATATATGTATATATATATATATATATATATATATATATATATATATATGTATATACTCTCGTAAATATCAGTCACAAGGTAGCTGGAACGCTGTTTAATTATTTATATGCTCGCATAACTGAGGTCGCATTGGATACAGAAACCTTCTATTGACACGAAACCATCGTAATTGCATTCGATGTTGATGATGCGAATAATATCCTCGATTGGATATCCAGCGTGCTTCAACAAATCATTAGTATAATTGGCATAGGCCTGCGTGTATAAACTGTTGTGTAGTCGAAACAGCGCTTTTCGTCGATTAACGAGACCATTTTATAAAGCCTAGTTGGACGGGCAACGGGCAAACGAGTCCAGTGTCGTTAATTTATCTGGAAATACGGCAAAACGAAGATGTTAAAGCACAATTATGCGACTAATAAATTGTCGGCTCATTCGAGCTAGCAATGAACGAGAATGGGAGAGAGGAAAGGGAGCTTTTAGTTGGTCCGCGGGCTGGCTCGTGAACGCTCTAGCCGTTCGCACGATTCGATGCATCAACGAACGGGAGCAAAACGCGCGCCGGCAGTTGGCAGTTGACGAATATCTAAATTTCCGCGATGCACGCTCGACCGTAATGTGGGCTGTGGCCTTTTAAGCCATTCATGCATCACAATTTGATGCCATGCAGTAAAAACACTCCCCCTTCGAGTCTCCCCCTTCCTCTGTTCACTTCCATCCCCACTACTCTTCCTCTATTTCGTCCATCAGCGTTCGCCCTGTGGCCGTACGGCAGGCCGCGCCACACTACCGCACACCGAAATACGTTCCACGCGTTTGAGAGAGGCTTTCGCGAGATTTCGATATCTCTCACAAAATTGTATTGTACATATCTACGTATGCGTATGCGCGTGTGCGAATAAAAGCCGATTGTTTTAGTGCACCTAAGTGTACCTACCAAATCTTTTTCCCGTACGTGTAAAACGGTACGTTAACGTATCTACGTATGCATGTTAACGTATACGATGGTGTTTCTCTTTGTGCGCGTTAGGCCGTATCAAGCGATAAAACGTATATGCGTTCCTGCAATTCACCGGCCAACAAACGGCGAAAGCTTTTATTCGAACCAAGAACGACAGTTGTATTTTAAAAGTGCTCGTGTTATAGTAATACGTAAAGCAGAAATCATCGTATGCTCTTTAAAATCGGGATGACATTTTTCTTTATTTTTATACCGAACGACGTGTCACAGAATTATAAATAGAATCAAGAATGAATACGAATTTATAGATATTTGTGACAATAAGATCCGACGGGTTAACTGATTTATGATCGTTTAAGGAAATGAATGATCATTTTTAAATCGTATTATTTATTTATGTAAAATGAGTAAGAAAATTTTCACATCGTGGATTAATCACGTTATCGTAACGATTTATCGTTCGAAAAAGTATTCAGGTTACCACACACTGGAAAAACGTAAGCGAATTTTGGCACGCGCCAACGGCTACCGAACGTTTCACTTCAGCCGGGAAACTCTTTGCAAATATTTGCACTAGCTCCGCGTGGACTATCGGAAAAGTTGGCGCGAAAGTTCTCTTTAACATCGCTTTGAATTTGAAACGAGCTTTGCAATAGTGACCGAAAGGAAAAATTTTGTTGTTTCGTTGATCTGACCTTTTATCGGCGTTATTCCTTTCACAAATCTTTTCAAAGAATTTGTACGTTTTTAAAGTACTGATTTTTTTGTTTATATAATCTCTCTCTCTCTCTCTCTCTCTCTCTCTCTCTCTTTTCTTTGTTGTCATAGCTTGACAACAAAGTTATTTGACTGTGTTTACTTTCGTGTTTATCGTAGGCTAACAATTAGTTAACTGCTTATTTTAACTTCAACTTCTTAAAATGCCTTTCAGTTTGAACGAATCTTTCAACGCGCACACCGAACGTCAGTATATTTCAAACAAACTTCCTATTTTCCGGGGAACGTCGATCTTTAATTATAAATTTCAAGTGATACTTCAAAGTCACGTACTCCATCTCGAGAGATTAAGTCAACCAGTTCGATTTTCGAGTCTTCAAAAAGCATGCAATACTACTACTACTACTACTACTACTACTACTACTACTACTACTACTACTACTACTACTACTACTACTACTATTACGATCGACTTTCGGGGTTCCATGTAAGCGTTGTACTTTCGTAAAACTCTCTTCTCGTTCTCTATTATTTCTACGATATACGCGCGTAACCGAGTGTGATCATTACTCGTGCGCTCTTTAAAGAATAATATTGACGGTAGAGTCTGGTTTCCTAGTACGCCACATCATAGCTACGTATCTCAAAACGTGTTATTGCCATCCATAGCGACTTGTATAATACTCTATGACTAGTAGAGAAAGCGTGTTGGCGACAGCCTTTATAAGAACTTACTCGTACGAAACATTTCGCAGTATTTCTTTTCCCTCTGTTATATTTCGTAATTTATATTATTTTTCATTGCCGAGAGAAAAGGAGAAGAAATTGAACGGCGAGATTTGACGAGGGCCACCAAAAATTTATATCTCCGTATGTATGTATATTCAAGTATTATTGTTAATAAAAGATGATGTAAAATCGTAGATAGAGGAAAATCCGTGTCGATGTAACCACAAGAGAACAAAGACGTTTATACATATACATATACATATATATTTATATACTATCGATAACGACAGTGAATAAAAGCAAATTCTTATACGTACAGAATATAATAGCGAGAGAGAAAAAGAAAAAAAGAGAGAGAGAGAGAGAGAGAGAGGCAGAGATTGCACATGTCGTAATAAAGAGAATGAAATAGAAAGAGAAACATAACTCAATGAAATACGTATGTTATCCCATGTTTCTATTCATATCATGATTTTTTTTTTCTGCTATTTGTTATTATTCGAGTTGTATTATTTCGACGTTCTTTTTTTTATTTTCATTTTGTTCATTTTTTCTTTTCTTTTTATTGATACATCGATATTAAAGAAAAAACAAAAAAAAAAAATAAAATAAAATAAAATAAAATAAAATAAAAATAACCGTGGAAAATATATATAGTTCCTTTATCATAAAATCAAAGATAAGATTCGAGTATTATGTTATAAATGAATCAAATGTTAGTTTTTCTTTTTTTTTCTTTCACTGTGATTCACTTTTGATAGATATATACTTTCATCGATTCATGATAAAAGATAGATAACATATTTCCTCGGGGAATGGGTCACCTCGAAATATTTGATGAGAATTGGTATCTCTTCCATCTAAGTCGTTTTCATTTTCATCAAAGGGATTTTCAAACGTCTTACGAAGAATATACTTTCTATAGGAATAAAGCGTGTATAATACACATTTTGACGATGTTAAATGACCTCGGGATATGGATGAACGTATACACGTACTATGTTAATTATCACCGAGAAAATTCTTTTATATTCACGATGCCAGGGTTATGTTTATCAATCGATACGAGAAAACGAATGAAAACAAATGAAAACATTTATAAATATGAAATATTAAAACTATGTTGTTATATTATATGTTATTATATTCGAGAGATTTAGATTGATGATTTTAATTAAATACTTATATCTTTGGTAAGTAAACAGATGGAAAATATAAATTGATATAAATAAATATTAAATAAATAAATAATACGAAGAATATATAAAATATACAATGTACATACATAGCTTGGTCATTTGGAAAAATAATAATATAAAAGGAGAGACAAACAATAGAATCAAATTCATGGAAAGCTTTGTGTTATGTTATGTTACGAAATTTGAACACGATGTAGTTCACCAATGAGAATCCGACTAACGTGAATGGTCGACCGCACGTACAGAGAACTCGATGCAGAACGACCGAAGTACGAGTATTTATTGTTGGACTCGATTCGACGATCGATGCGTGTGGAACGTCGTCGAAAGCTTCGACTTCCTCCTCTAGGTCAACCAATCCCACGTGCCCAAAGGAAAATTATGTTATCGTACATACGTGTTTCTCTTCGATAGATATATGTTGATACATAACGGCTTCAGATATTCACGAGCCTTGTTCTTTGGATTTTCTCGAAAAACACGTAAAATCTGTTAGATTGGTACTCTGTGCAAATGTGAATAGATTTATGAGGTCGAAAGTAATAAAAACATAGATACGTGAATATATATATATATATATATATATATATATATATATATATATATGTTGTTGCTAATTCACAATTCATAACGTATTAACAATACATATGTATATATCATACGAACTTATAAAAGTTTAAATTATATCTCATTTGAGCGAGTGGGCTTTGTAGGGGCGTTTCATTTTTCGACGAGTCCCGAGTTTTCAGTGAAAACGCGCGGACAAGCAGTCCGTTGGGAATCATCGGTATAGAAAACAGAGAAATGAAAATGGAAATTGTAGAAATACCGCGAATACGATACACGTACATAGTCGGAGATCTTAAATATCTGAATCTGTCGTTCATATCTAATTCTGTTTAGTGTACTGACCGAAATACGAGAGTGCCGTGATGCATCGCAACATCGCGGAAAGTTTAAATTATCTTGTCCGCCGGGGGAGGAAAGCTCCTTGGGGAAACGAC